TGCCTTCATAAGGGACGAAGGAAAATTCTTTACCCTTAGGTTTTCATTATTTGCCATATCCCCTGACTCGGTTAGATATCTAGCAATGTGTTCCACTGTCGAATTACCTGATTCACCCCTAAACTTTGTGTACTTAGGGATTTTCCATCCTCTAGGTAATTCAATCTGCAAAATATATTCAGACAAAGGGGAAAAATATGTTGGCCTCTACAATGTGGTATTCATACCATTCCTAGCCATAATTCTTTCAACAATAGTTGTTAGGTTATTTTCTACCACTGAATCCTCTTGTCGATATTGATCAACAATTTGATCAGCATCTTGTTGTTGATTAACCAATATCATCGGATGGCGTTCTACCACTCTCGTTTCGACAACTTGATTTTGTTGTACTTATGGCCTAGGAACTTGCCCCTGGTAGACTGTTTCATTTTCCACTTCCCCCATTTCCACTTGGGCATGGACAACTGGTCTAACAACAGGTGGTACCTGTCGAATAGGCACTTGGGGTGCCCCAAAAAATTACACAAGTGTGTCAATTGAGTGACTACTTGCCTATTTGTTTTAGCGGAATGTGTATTAGTTTCAATTGACTTCTGCATTACAGGGTTAATCACAAAATCCATTTGATTGGTTAATAAATTTACCAACTCATGGTTACTATCATCCATTTGCTGCCTCAAAACCGCTACCAATGTATTAGTTAAATGAGGCACTGGTGGAGAAGGACCCACTCTACTTTGGTTATTTCAATTTAAGGAATTTCTTCCTGGCGCAGACCCTTGCAACGGGGAATTCATATTTTGAGCGTTATCAACCAATAGCGCTAGGTTTGATGTAGATTGATATCCGGGCATTAAGGATACAACATTCCATAAAGATGATCTGTAACGCTGAAACGAGGTACATTGGGCCTAACGGTTGTGGCCATCACTGGTCCTGGACTCACCGGCAGAGCCTGAGGAATTGACACTGGAACTGCACCTACAATCGACATTGTTGCAGTTGTGTTTGCCAACGGGGACAAAGATACAACTTGAGACACTACTTTGTCTATGGTAGTTATTGTTCTTTGTGGCACTTACATTTATATTAGGGTTTGTAGGATTAGTCATCCTTGGTGTACGTTTCTTTACTTGTGGTCTATCGTACTTTTTGGTTAGATTCCCACTTCTAAGTTTCATACATTTACTAATACCCAAAAAATAAAACTTGAAAAACCACTACACTAGCACTGGTCTCACCGGGTGTGCCAATTTGTTTTCTGTGGAAAAAGGTAAACAACCGCTAGTCTTCCCAAAGCCTAAAAACTAAGGGTTACTTGCAGGATCGACTAGTTGATCCTAAGACATGTGCTAATGTATCTAAGTATAACTTGTTCGACCGATGTAAGACTTTGCTTTTTGAGAAATGGTTTTCTCTGAAGGATAGAAAAAGCATGAGTTTCCACAATGTAATGTCTTGACCGACTAAAGGTGACTCGTGACCGACAGTAGATTACGACTTATTTAAATGAAATAAATGTTGAGTTACTCTTTAGTAAATTCTAGTATAGAGATAGAACAAGTTTCAAAAGCGTAGATGATAATATAAAAGGATCGTTCGAAAGTAAATAAAATTAAAGTAAAAGATTCAAAAGGAACAACTGAAAAGAAAGGAATTCGCATTGACATAAAGATGGTGATTCACGTACATTAACACCTTTGAAACCCTCTGCTTCCTTATGCTTGGAATGTTGGGTTTGTTAAGTGATTCTAGTACAAAGTGAACATCCTGAATCCTACACTGGGTCCTTTTATTTATAGTAGTTACAAATTTAACTGCCTACGTACTAGAACACACTATATACTTGACATGTATTTGGCCTTAAGCTAACTTCTTATCTATATTTTCACCATGTACTTGGAGCTTAATTTGGAAAACTATCTTGCAACTGCTAGTATTTTCAAATTTCAAAATTATCCCGCTCCAGCACTCACTTCGACGCCATCCTTTAGCATAGATAGATGATCCAAACTTCTCTAAGTCTTAGATTTCACTTTAGTCGACAAGACCAAACTTCGACTAGCTTGTTTGTCAATTGTGTCGACTTTCCACTGCTGACTAATAATTTTCCCAACTATTTCTCATTCTTGAGCTTAATTTCCTTACAACCTTTATTTATAGGATACCTTCTTCTTAACTCATGGGACTACCCTCATTAATTACACAATATATACCTTAAAAGATTTTTTTAAGGTAATAGCAAGATCATGTTGTGTTTATCTGGCTTCTTTCTACAATTTCTGAATCCGTCTTACCTAGGGTTCTTGCATGCAAGCACACGTTTGAAGTATGGGACAAAATCCACCAATTCTTCAATGCACAAATGAAGGCCAGAGTGAGAAAATTGTGTGTCGAACTCAAATCCACAAAGAAGGTAAATCGATCCATTACACAGTTTCTGTTGGGCAACAAATCCATAGCCAATTATATCTTTGCTGTTGGCGACTCAATCACTGAGCAAGATCAAATTTATGTTATTCTTGAAGGCCTACCAGGAGAGTTTAATCCTTTTGTAATGCAAATGTATGGTTGTCCATCTCCACCTACAATATGTGATGTTGAAGCCCTTCTCTATGTGAAATAGGCACAACTTAACAAATTATGTCAAGAACTTACAGTATCAACTATTGCTGCCAATGTTGCTCACTCCTGCCATGATAATTCCAGGTCCAGAGGAGCTTACTCAGGAAACTATGGTCGTGGTAACAGGTTTAATCATGGTCGTGGAAGATCCACCTCTGGTAATCGTCCCACATGCAAACTATATGGTAAATATGGTCACTCGGTCTCTTCATGTTGGCACAGGTTTGATGAGAACTTCATGCCTCAAGAAAGTTTTGCATCTCAGTGTAATTCTACAATACACCCTCACAAACAAGAGAGCTCTCAGGATTCTGCAAAAATTTCTCAAGCAATGACAATGACGGAAACCACTAAAGAGTATTCTCTACCCTCTAAATTGGAATCCCAAGCCTGGTTTGTAGACTCGTGTGCTTTACACCATCTAACTCTATATGCTTCTTTGTTACAAAATAAACAACCATATGTAGGCTTTAATAAAATGTTTGTAGGTAATGGTCAAACTCTTGCTATTCACTCCTTAGGAGTCATACAATTTCACCCTAAGTTTAGTTCTAATCAAAAGCTAACTCTTACCAATGTGTTACATGTACCTGCTATCACTAAGAATCTCTTGTCTGTGTCTAAATTTTGTTTAGATAATAATGTGGTATTTGAATTTCTGCCTAACAAGTGCTATGTCAAATCTCAGGCTTCTAAGCAAATACTTATTGAAGGAGCTCTGGATGTTAGTGGTCTGTATTACTTCCCTCGGCTATCCTTGGAGATAATCAGCTCTCAAAATTTGCATACCAGTCACAAGATTTCTTCTGGTATTCATAGCTTTCTTGTTTTTGATTTTATTGCTAATTAGCCTAGTTCTTATACTACAACCTGTAATACTAGTACACTCTGGAATTATAGGCTAGGCCATCCAAGTTCTAATTTTGTTTCTCATGTTTTGAAATTGTGTAATATTGCTAATTCTAATAAAAATCACATTAATTTTTGTAACTCTTGTCAACTTGGAAAGGCACATAGGTTACATGCTCCATCTACTAATACAATTTACTATCATCCCATTGACATGATTTATACAGATTTATAGGGTCTATCCCTTAACCCTTCTAGTTCTGGTTTTAAGTACTACATAGCCTTTGTAGACGGCCACACTAGATACACATGGCTTTATTATCTTAAGAACAAATCTGAAGCTTTACAAGGTTTTAAACATTTTTACACTTTTGTTCAAACTCAGTTTAATGTAACCATAAAATTTGTTCAATCTAACTTTGGTGGTGAATTTCTCCCTTTAACTAAATTCCTAACAGAACTAGGCATTCAACATAGAATCACATGTCCTCACACATCCCATCAAAATGGTTCCGTGGAGAGAAAACATAGGCAAATAGTAGAGATTGGTCTAACCTTGCTTGCTCATGCATCCTGCCTATAGACTATTGAGAACATAGTTTTTCTACTGTTGTTTACTTAATTAATAGGCTACCTACATATGCTTTGAACAAAGCCACGTCACACTATTATGCTCTTTATAACAAGCACCCTGACATAAGTCTCTAAGGGTCTTTGGATGCTCATGTTCTCCTCTCCTTAGACCCTTCAATAAACATAAGCTTCAACTAAGGACCCAAGAATATATTTATCTCGGTATATCCTCTCGCCATAAAGGTTTTAAGTTTCTTAACAAAGATGGCAAAATCTTTATCTCCAAAGATGTCAAATTCAATGAAAATTATTTTCCTTTTCCTGTGTTATTTTCCAACCAGCATTCACATAAAACATATGGTAATAACACTTGCATTTATGGTCTAGATGCACCTTCTAATGTACCATCTTTTCTTTTATCTCGTGTATCTAGTGATGCTTCTATTGTTCCAAGTATAATAGAGCCAAATACTACTAATAGTGACATGTCACATCCCACAAGTCTAGACGCCCCTAATTCAGTAGGCCAGTCCTTTGCCCCGACCCCTCAAAGTCCCTCTCTACATGTCAACCAAGGACATAGTTGTCAACCTTCTCAATCTATAAATGTGCCTATAAAGTATTTATCACATGCTGATAAGTCACATCCTACTACACATAGACATGTAGCATTTCCCTCACATTTACCCGAACAAATTGCACAAGTTCCCACATCCACACCCTCTTATAATCTAGGGGGTAATAGTTCTCACTCTGAGAGTGAAATGTCGAGTTGTCCCGAGAATAATAGCAGTGGTCCTAATAATAACACCAATGATGTCCCAAGTCCCATTTTCTCTAAGGACTCTTCTTTAGAGCACTCTACTGATGCTCTCAACATCTCTCCTGAGTTACCCTATTCCAGTCCTTCCTTTCACTAAAATGAAGTATCTATATCATATTGCATTCCTATGTCTGAGTCCTTAAATTCTCCTTCAATTCTCACTAGTAAACCTCCCGGTCCTCTTCTTGAGAATAATCATCCCATGCTTACAAGGGCTAAGACAGGAAATTCCAAACCAAAAGCTTGCACTGCTCATACAAGTTATGAACCTACCAGTACTAAACAAGCTATGTCTATTCCTGAATGGTCTAATGCCATGAAAGAGGAGTTTCATGCTCTCCAGACTAACAACACCCGGGTCCTTACATCTCTACCAGCTAATAGGAAAGTAGTGGGATATAGTTGGGTATTCAAATTTAAACACAATCCTGATGGTAGCATCCTTAAACAAAAAGCTAGACTTATTGCTAAAGGGTAACACTAGGAACATGGTTTTGATTACACATAAACTTTCACTTGTTGTCAAACCAACTACCATCAGAGTCATCTTAACTTTATCCATTACCTACAAGTGGAAAATTCAACAAATTGACATTAACAATGCCTTTCTGAATGGGATTCTCCATGATGAAGTGTATATGACACAACCTCCTGGATTTGAAAATAAAGATAAGTCCTTGGTCTGCAAACTCAATAAGGCTCTCTATGGACTTAAGTAGGCCCCTAGGGCTTGGTATGAGAAACTGACCCAAGCTCTCCTTCGGTTTGGCTTCACTGCATCCAAATGTGATACTTTCCTCTTCATCTACTGTAAGCAAGGTATCTCTATGTATGCACTTGTTTATGTTGATGATATTTTAATAATTAGTTCAAGCACAACTATGGTTCATGATCTGACCAGCAAATTGCACAACATGTTTGCTCTGAAAAAGTTAGGCCGACCTAGTTATTTTCTAGGTATTGAGGTTAAGTTCTGCAGCAACGGTTCCCTTCTGCTCACTCAATCCAAATATATCAGAGATCTGTTAATCAAAGCCAATGTCGTAAATGCAAATGGAGTCCCTACTCCAATGTTAAACATATGTAAATTGAACAGACATAGATCAAATTCCTTCTCTGATGCACAGTTATACAGGTCCATTATTGGTGCCTTGCAGTATGTAATATTAACCAGGCCTGACATTGTTTTTAGTGTCAATAAAGATTTCCAATTCATGACTAATCCCCTTGACACACATTGGTATGCAGTTAGAAGAATATTGTGCTATCTCAGTGGCACAAGTGGTTATGGTCTGCTCTTATCCCCTTCAGTTTCAACGCCTAACTTCTCATTGGGAGTCTGTAGTGACTCTGATTGGCCTAGTGACCCGGATGATCGAAGGTCCCCCTCTGGTTCCTGTTTAATTTTTGGACCTAACTTGGTATCTTGGAGCTCTAAAAAGCAGTCCTTGGTGGCTCGCTCGAGTATTTAAGTAGAGTATAAAGCTCTTGCACATTCAACCTCTGAATTATTGTGGTTATAATCTTTACTTTCTGAACTTCGCATCTCTTTTCACACTCCTACTTTTCCATGTGATAATCTCAATGTAATGCTAGTTTTGCACAACCCAATGTTACATGCTCGTACCAAACATATTGAGCTTGATATACACTTTATTAGAGAATGTGTTGTTGCAAAAAGGATGTCAATTCAACATGTTCTTGCAGCAGCCCAGCTAGCTGACACATTGACCAAGCCTCTTGGAACTGCTACATTTCAAGATTTGCAGGCAAAACTCAAGGTGGTGTGTCAAGCTCTGCATCCTTCCTTTTAAGGGGGGTGTTAGAGTTACTTGTATATTAGTCATATTGTAACACTGTAGCAATATTATTTTCTGTTAGCTTCTGTTACATAATTGCATTTGTTAGTTTGTTAAGAGTTACAACTAGCATCTCTGTGAGTATTCATGTATAAATAGCTAGCACTGTATCATTGGTTCTCTTAATGAATGAATCCAAAAACTTTATCTCTTTTATCATCTTCTTTACTCTCAACTCAACTTCACAGAGTGAAGTATGAGCTCTATGTATGAATTCTAACGCGACACATGTGAACTCAAGGATGATGTCTTGTTTACTGGTAAGATTGTAAAGATTTTAATTGACAAATTCCTTACTATTATCAGAACATATTCATTTAATAACTTTTCCAAATTGTGTTTGTATTATATTATAAAATTAAATAAATAATTGTGATAATTATTATTTATTATTCATAAAAAACAATTCAAGTTACTCAAGAATAATTGTCAATAAAAGAAACAAAACATATTGCATCGGAAATGTCAAACAAGGGATTGCTCTCTAAATATCAGAATGAATAGGATTAAATAGTTCAACACTTTTGGTAAGACTCGAAGAAAAAGCAGTCCTTTAATATTTAAAAAACTAACAAATATTATCGAAATGAATAATGTCAATGCATGAATAATATCATCATAATAAATAATGACTCAGAATTTCAAACATTCTACGATTAAAACCAAAACTAATAATTTCATATAAATATTTTAATATATTTTAGATTTGTAATTTATAATAAAAGAATAAACTATTTTGAATAAATATAAATATAAATATAATAAATTTATTTAATATATCTTATTATAACTAAACGTTACATATTTATATATGCGTCTTAACACAATAAATCCCTTTATTCTAGCGTGAAATTTATGAAGCTCATTAAAAAACTTTTATGCGAAGGAGGGAATTTTTTACCTTTAAAATTTGATAGCTTTGAATCAAGTATTTGGACTCGAGTGATAAATGAACTTTTGCTAAAGAACGATGGTTTAGAAAATGTCGAGTTTGATTTTTGGTAGAAACAATATTTAGCAAGTATCATGACCTCTCGACACGAGTTCTGAATTACTATAGTCTCATTCTCCTACAAACTAGGGTGCAAAGACCAAAAAAAAATTGATGCTTTTGATAACTTTTTGTGTCTTTATCTTTCTAAACCATTATTTCAGTCTCATTTTAATATATTATTTTAAGGTTTAAATAATCTTTTGATCCTCGTAAGTTAACGTGTTTTTTATTTTGATCCATAATTTTTTTAAGACTTTATATGCTACTTTCTTGTTGGTATTGATCTTTGACGTTAAAATTTTATGGAAAAAAATGATGTTGCTTACGTGACAATCTTTTTTTCCTTTTGCATTTTTTTTGTCTTAAATGTTTTAATACAAAAACTTAAATTTTGGTCCCAAAAAAGAGTTAAACCAATTCCCTTGCAATCACATAGTACTCTCTATCTACTAGGCTAAACTTTCCATTTATTTATAATGTTGCAACAATAATATACATTACATAAGTGCTTCAATATTTAATAAATGATTTAATATTTTAACTATTAATGATTAATTAGGGTATTAAAGATTAAATAATTATAACTAAGTACTTGAGTTCTAGTAGGAAATGAGCTTTGACTAAAGACAAATCATTCAAGTACTATCTGAATTCGATTCTTGGTGAAAACATGATTTGGCAAGTGAGTCGTTCCTCAGAATCATAAAACCAAATTAATCGATTCACTATGTGGATCAAAACTGATTGGCTAAACTCATTTTTTTTAATAATTATTAAATAAAATTAAAATAGTAATAGTTAAAATATTAATAGTTGAAATATTAAATAGTTGAAATATTATTAAATAGTTATTAAATATATTAGAGTTGAAATAGTTAATGTAAAATAATTGTTTAATACTTAATAAACAATTTAATCATTAATAGTTAAAATATTAAATATTTTATCAAACATTAATAGTTAAGATATTAAATAAAATTATTAAATATTGATTTTTTTTAATAAACAAAACTTTGTATTAATTCAAAAATTCTCTAAAAGTACAAGTTGATCGCTAGGATCCAGCCCACTCAGATGACAAAAGGAAAATAAAGGCCCTATTAAATCATCATCATATTAACTATATACTCATTTATTTTCATACCATACCAACCTCTATAGAAAATATCTTCTCTAAAATAGTGTCAACTATTTTTGTGTTATCCGCACTATTATCGTAACAAATATCATTACGGTACTTTCACACCCCATATATGGTTTTAGCCGCAACCAGCTTCATAATAGTAGCCTTTTTCCTCCTTCCATTCCTTTAGATCTCTTTTAACTTGGATCCAATCTAGAACTTTGGACCATATAATATTAAGTTTAGTGCATCCAAAGAACAAATGGTTTATGGTTTCCTCCTCCGTACAGAAGCCACATCAACTATCGTCGATCATTCCAAAATTCTTCAACTTATCTTTTGTGGCTAATCACCATGGCAGGCTAGCCACAATGTAATCAGCACTTTAAGCTTAGTTGGGTTATTACGAAACAAATTACACCAGTGGACTTTAGGAATTGACTTATAGAAACCTATATAGACTTCCTTCATACAAAATCTCTTTCTACTCTGCATATCTAACCAAACAACTTGAATATCCCCAATGTTTTATCTTAGTTTCAGAACATTTTTCATAATCCAAGATGTGATACGGTGGCCAGAACCGGGACGTGGTTTCCCTTATTTCATTAAGGAAATTTTGCTGGTTTGCGTTTTGCGTTTTGTTTTCGCAAAATGTCGCGGTAAGCAAGAGTCGCCACCGACTTTTATTTTATCCAACAAGGAAAGGAAAAAAGCACAGAAAAATTCCTTTTTCGAGATATTTCTGAGTACGGGGGTAGATTATAGAAAGGGAAGGTATTAGCACCCTTTCTATCCGTAGTTATCTACGGGCTCTTAGGTACTTGCTCATCATTTTCAAAATTGCTTTCTTTGTGTTTGTGGGTTTTAAAAGGTTTTTGTTTTAACTTCGATTTAACTCTTGCTTCTGTCTTCAAGAGTGTAATGAAGTGTTTTTGAAAACTTTATTTGTAAAGGAGTGTAAGTGTGAAAAATTTGTTTGGAATGAGCAAGTACTTAAGAACTAATCTACCTACTCGAAAAAAGAACCGTTCTATGTTCGTTTCCTTTAGACAATGCTATCCCACTATTAGTGAGTAGGTAGCATCGTCGTTGGAGTTTTAAGGGTCAATTCGAAAGGGACGTACGGTCACTAAAGCAATGTTAGGACGTCTTAGTAATAACCCTAATGTCTTAGATCATTTATCCGAGGCAACAAATATTCGAGGCAACCTTTCCGAGGCATATTTGATCTTTGGACAAAAGGACGACCACTAAAGCATCCTATACTCAATGACTGTTTACCGAAGGCAACCAAGTGAGAGTGTAACCTAAGAGTGCGCATGTGTGAATGATTCCATTTCAGTTTATTTATCTTTGCACATTTAGGGTGATCTAACTGTTTTAAAATTAGACATACATTCTTGTCATGCAAACCCTATTATCAAACATCTAACAGTTAATAATTTGCGAAATTTAAAATGCGGAAATTAAACTACGCTATTACAAGGCTTCAGATATTTACATAGCCAAAAACAAACCCTTTGAAATTAAAGCGATAAATGTAAAAGTCCTAATTAAAATTATTACAAACTGTGAGCAGATACAATAATTGGGTAAAACTAAAAATAAAGCGCGCGATGATAAATTAGATCGAATGCGAAATTAGGGTTTTGACCCTTCTATCCTAATTAAAAGAGAAAATTGTTTTTTTGTTTTTTTTTAATATTTTTAAAAGAAAAGAACTAAGTTTTTCTAAATTAAATATGAAAATTAATTAGTGATTAAATTAATTAGTAAAAATAATTATAAGACATATTTTTGGTTTTTTTGGTTATTTTAGGAAAAAAATAAAATACAATTAAGTTAGTAATAAAAACCTATTTATTCTAATTAACTTTAATTGTTTGCAAAAAGAATTAAAATTGTCTAAATTAATAAACCTAATTAAATTAATTACCTTTTTTAATAAAAATAAAATCTAGACCCTAATTATGAAAAATAATATTTTTGGGATTTTTTGATAAAAAGAAAATAATTTGATTGGTTAGTAAAATAAATAAATGAAATAATTAAATGGAATATGAAATATAAAAGGATAAGAGATGGGCCTGAAAAAATAGGGGTGCAAAGAGCAATTTCCTGGGCCCATTAATGATGGAATCCGTTTGACTTTTGAGATCTTATGTGGCACGCTTGACTTGGCTTTTGGTGGTCTCTCCTGGATGGCCATCAGATTTGGCCATCTAGCCATTTTGCATACCCGATCTGGAGGGAGTATGATAGACCCTGGCTTCATGTGCATACTGAATCGCCTACAAGAAAATATGAAAATAACAAATGCTGGAGGCAGGGATCGAACCCCTGACCTCCAGCCTTCCAATGCCTTAAGCGCTGCCTGGCTACCATTGGGCCACTTTGCTTTTGTTATACATATAATGGAAAATAATAATAATATATAAAACAAATATTTATTGGAAATAATAAAAAAAATGCGCGCAGAAATTTGAATAGGCCAATTAGGTGGAGCCACGCCATCGTCTTCCTTCCCTCTCCGTGGCTAAAAGTTGGAGAACTTATACCTACGGACAACGTCCGTTGCTACAGGCCTGTGCATTCTCAAAATCTTCCATGGGCCATAGAAATAACATCTAATGCCATGGTTGGACTCGTCTTGTCCTCCTGAACCTAAAGGTACCATTCATGAAGGCCAATTTTCCCTGCATTCAAAAACCCTAATTCGGAGCTTCGAAACCTAGCTATGGTGAAATCGTGTAGAGGCCATAAAAATGAAATTAAATGATGCAGAAAGTTTGCATATGTTCCATAGATCAAGAAGGTACAATTAATTCATCCTAA